TTTTCCCTTATTGGTCATTCTCTTTTTTTGCCCTGTGTATTTATTTCTCATTCATTGCCAAATTTTTTACCACTGTGTAAATCTCCACATGGATAAGATGAATGTCTAAATTCATGTGCATGAGGTAATTCTGTCAATTTCATGTGCTGTATGAATTACCTACCAGAACCGTCTGAACTGATACTCTGCTAAACCCAAACACAGGATCCTCTGTCATCCTGAGGTCTTCTTTTATTACATCTCGGATATTATTTTGCCTCTTGCCTGTGTTAATCTATTTTATGTGCCCATGTCCTGTTCTTTCTTAATTTTCTCCCCCTTTTTAGTGTGGCATATCTCTTAATAGTTCATAGATAAAAGCTGCATGAAAATTTTTGAATAATGCATTCTAAAAATGTTTTATTCTATACCCATACTTTATTTGATAATTTGGCTGGGTGTAGAATTCAGCGTTAGAAATAATTTTCCTTTAGAATTTCGAAGGCATTAATTTTTCCATTGGCTTCTGTTTATAGTGTTGTTGAAAAGTTCAAAGGTATGCGGGTTTCTGATTTATTTTCTCCTTTTTAGAGACAGGGTCTCACTGTGTCACCCTGGCTGGAGTACACTGGCATGATCACACTGCAGCCTCAAACTCCTGAGCTTAAGCCATCCTCCTGCGTCAGCCTCCTGAGGAGCCAAGTCTAAGGCCTGTGTTATCATGCCTGGCTAATTTTGCTATTTTTTTGTAGAGACAGCTGTGCTATGCTGATCTACACTGATTTCAAATTCCTGGCCTCAAGCAATCCTCCTGCTGTAACCTTCCAAAGTGCTGGGATGACAGGCATGAGCCACTACTCCCAGACCAGTTTCTGAACTTTTTCTGTAACCTGTTCTTTCCTCACCTCTGCAGAAACAAGTAGGATTCTTTTTATGCCCAGTGTTCTGAAATTGTATTGCCATATGAACCAATTTTAGCCATTATATTGGAAATATAATGGTAATCTGGAAACTTGTTCTGTACTTGTAGGAACATTTTTTTGAATTATTTCATTAATTATTTCTTATTTCCTGCCTTCTATTTCCTGTTCTCCTTTTGGAATTCCTGTTCCCAGACTAACCGTCTAATATTCATACCTGTTTTCTTCCTCCTTGTCTTTTACTTTACTTTCTGGGAAATACCCTGAACTTTATTGTCCAGCCTGTCTATTGAGCTTTTCCTTTATTGGAAAATAAAGGCAACGTTTTTACCCTCTAAGAACTTTGTGTATATATATATATAAAATACAGATGTTCCCTCCTTCCCTCCCTCCCTCCCTCCCTCCTTCCCTCCTTTTTAAATAACAGTAACTAGTTAATTTTGGTTTGGTTTGGTTTGGTTTTTAGACAAGGTCTTACTCTGTTGCCCAGGCTGGAGTGCAGTGGCATGGTCTTGGCTCACTGAATCTTCCATCTGGATTCAAGCAATTCTTATGCCTCAGTCTCCTGAGGAGCTAGGATTGCAGGCGGGTCCTACCACACCCAGCTAATTTTTGTATTTTTAGTAGAGGCGGAGTTGCACCATTTTGGCCTGACCTCAAGTGATCAGCCTGCCTCCGCATCCCAAAATGCTGGAGTTAGAGGCATGAACCATCTTACCTGGCCTTGGTTAATTGTTTTATCGTTGCACCATTGGTTATAAATGATAGCTAAAAAAGTCTTGAGAAGTTTTTCTAATTCCTGCATAATCTCTGTCTGTTCCCAGCTACCTTTTTTTTTTTTTTTTTTGTCATTTTGGTCTCTATTATTCCACGTTAAAGGCTTTCCTCAGATGTCTGTTCATTTTTTATTTATTTATTTATTTGAGACGAAGTCTTGTTCCATCACCTAATCTGGAGTGCGGTAGCACAACATCAGCTCATTGCAACCTCTGTCTCCCAGGTTCAAGTGATTCTTCTGCCTCAGCCTCCCTAGTAGCTGGGACTACGGGCGCGTGCCACCATGCCTGGCTAAATTTTGTATGTTTAGTAGAGATGGGATTTCACTGTGTTGGCCAGGCTGGTCTCAAACTCTTGACCTCATGATCTGCCCACCTTGGCCTCCCAAAGTGCTGGGATTACAGGTGTGAGCCACTGTGCCTGGCTATTTTTTAAACCTGAGTATGTCCTTAAAGTCCATGGACCCACTTCTAGTTTTAAATTTCTCTTTTTGAGCACTTCTTTTTTTTTTTTTTTTTTTAAGTTTCGCTCTTGTTACCCAGGCTGGAGTGCAATGGCGCAGTCTCAGCTCACCGCAACCTCAGCCTCCTGAGTAGCTGGGATTACAGGCACGCGCCACCATGCCCAGCTAATTTTTTGTATTTTTAGTAGAGACGGGGTTTCACCATGTTGACCTGGATGGTCTCAATCTCTTGACCTTGTGATCCACCCACCTCGGCCTCCCAAAGTGCTGGGATTACAGGCGTGAGCCACTGCACCCAGCCTCTTTTTGAGCACTTCTATCTGACTTTTGCAGAATGAAGGAAGGGCAGTTGTCCAGCTGCCTAGAGGATAAATTGACCTGGAGATCTGGTTACTTCATAAGCAGGTTTTTAAGAAATTCCCCTTATTTTAGCTATCTTCTTTTAACCCCACTTGTAGAGGTATTTTGCATTGTAAATTAGATCAGTTCTCCTATTTCTCAGCGTCACTGCTAGTTTATGCTGTGTTTTTCTTTGGTAACTTTGTTACCACTCTTATTTGCTTTCCAGTTTCTACACTTTTTGTTGCTCTCCTATCCCTTTCTCCTCATACTATTGGTTTTATTCTTTTACAACACAAAAAACAAAAAAGGGCAAACAAAGAAATATCTTCACTGACCTTTTATTGGAATTTTGGGATAGAGTAAAAGTAGATAATGTGCTAAGCTAGCAGTTTCTACCAAGACTAATTATTTTTCATTTTTATTTATTTATTGAGATGGAGTCTTGCTCTGTTGCCCAGGCTGGAGTGCAGTGGTGCAATCTCAAGCTCACTGCAACCTCCGCCCCCTGGATTTGAGTGACTCTCCTGCCTCAGCCTCCTGAGTAGCTGATATTACAGGCACATGCCACGATGCCCAGCTAATTTTTTAATGTTTTTAGTAGAGCTAGGGGTTTTACCCTCATCTTGGCCAGGCTGGTGTCGAACTCCTGACCTCAAGTGATCTGCCCTCCTCAGCCTCCCAAAGTGCTAGGACTACAGCCACGAGCCATCACACCTGGCCATTTTTTCTTTTAGATCCTTTGTTTAGGCATTTCATCTTAGCAGTCTAGAATGGGAATTTGCAAATATGAGTGCCAATATAGAATCACCTGGAAAGCACTATTTTTAAATTTAAAAAAAAAAAAAATTTTTTTTTTTTTTGAGATAGGGTCTTTGTTGCCCGTACTAGAGTGCAGTGGCCCAGTCACAACTCATTGCCATCTCAACCTCCCAAGGCTCAGGTGATCCTTCTGCGTCAGCCCCCTGAGTACCTCGGACTACAGGTGTACGCCACACTGACCAGCCAGTTTTTTTATTTTTAGTAGGGACAGAGTTTCAACACGTTGCCCAGGCTGGTCTTGAACTCCTGGGCTTAAGTGATCCACCTGCCTTGGCTTCCCAAAGTGCTGGGATTACAGGTATGAGCCACTGCACCTGGCCAATCTGGAAAATCTTTAAAAAATACCATATATGGATTTCACAATTAGTGGAATTGGTTGTTAGTAGGGTGTGGTTTTAGTTCTCCAAGTTATTTTAATGTATAGCCAGATTTGAGAATTCTGATCTGAAAAAAATGAAAATTGGAACAAGTGAGAAAAAGCAACAGATTCTAAAAATATTACTGTTTTGTATTAAAACATCATCTGTTAAAACATTCCAAATTCTGTTAGACGTAATAACCTTTCTCAGTGGTATTAGGAATTGAGAATGAGTTTCTCTAGAGGGTCTGTGTCGGTTTGCATTCCAGCAAACAGGGACGTAGTAGCGAAAATTAAGTCTTCATCAGAAGTGGCAAATAGTATTATAGAAAACCAAATTACTAGAACAGAGGACATACTTGAGAAGCAGTCACAGAATGTGTAATAAATAAGCGAAATGTTAGAAAAAAATAAACATTTATAATGTAAATCTAAAATAGAAACAATAATTTTTTTTTCTCTTGGAAAACTAAAATGACATGGATAAATAGCAGTAGCCAATGGTAAAACAAACAGGAAAAAAAACCAACATATAATGTGTTACATAACATGTATTTCTTAAATTTTGTATCTTTAAATATTAAGAGGATACAGTTTATGATTACTTTTATTTTTTAGAGAAGGGCTCTCTCTGTCACTCTGGCTGGAATGCAGTGGTACAATCATTTTTCACTGTAACCTTGAACTATGGGGCCCAAGCAGTCCTTCCCACCTTACCCTCCTGAGAAGCTAGGAGTATGGGCACTCAACCACCATGCCTGGCTGATTTTTTAAAGTTATTTTTTGTAGAGACAGGGTCTCACTATGTTGCCTGGTCTGGTCTCAAACTCCTGGCCTCAAGTGATCCTTCTGCCTCAGCCATCCAAAGCAATGGTTGACGGACCGGAGCTACTGCAGCTGGCCCAGTTATTTTTCAAGTGTCTGCAATATTTATAAAGCTATACACACACACACACACACACACACACACACACATACTTGATCATAAATATATCTAATTCAAAACAGCAGAAACTTTAAAAGTTATTACTGTGAGTATGCTAAAACAAAGATTTTTAAAATGACATTTTAAAAAACAGATTATGAGAATAAGGCATTAATGAGAAGCAAAAAGAAACACTGCATGCTTTTATAATTTAAAAAGATGAAGAACCAAGAATTTAGTATAAAATTTAAGAAAAATGGAAGTAGGTGGAAAAATGTATTAAGGATACAATTAAAATTGTGTATGTGTAGTGGATACTTTGCAGACCTTGCAGTGGATTAGAGAATTTATGTATATGTTGAAATGGAAGCATGTCCTCAAAACTTAAAATCTTTTTTTTTCTTTTTTTTTTTTCAGTCTCCATTAGAGACTGTCAAAAATTGCCAGTGCTCACTATATTTCAAGTCGTCATGGCGGGGTATTGGGAAAAGTTTTCAGTTAGCAGTAATCGTGCCTTGGATAAACCTCATTGGCTACAATACTGCCACTGCGCAAAACTGAAAACTTAAAATCTTAATGAAAAAGCAGATTGCAAAATAATTATATTTACTTACACACACACACACACACACACACACACAAACACACACACAGATTTATGTATGCTTATGAGTCCCTATAGTTGTATACCAAATTTTTCATAATGTTCAGGGGTTTTCCTGTGGGGAAGCAGCAAGATTATGGGGCAGACTTTTATTTTGTAGTCTTGTGTTTAATTTTTTTTTTTTTTTACAGTGAGTCCTGCATATTTTCTGTAATTGGAAATAAAAAAAAGCTATGTTCATTTTGAGGGGAGAAAAGCAATACTTCATCATATGAAGCTAGAAAAAAATAGATTATTACACATTGCATGCCTGTATGAAAACACCTCTCAGACCCCATATATACAACTGTGTACCCACAAAAATTAAAAAATAAAGATTTTTTAAGAAAAGAAAATAGGAAAAAAGATGGGATTAATAAATAAACCTAAAAAGTAAAAGGTTCATGAAAGAGGCAAAATACATAAGCTTCTTCCAGATCTGATTAAACAAAATTAACCATAGAAAGTAGATTTAAATCACATAGAAGGAATATATGTATATAGATATTAGGAGACATCTATGAACACAGTTATGCTAATAAATTACAGAAATCTCAATGAAGTTTCCAAATCCATTAAACATTCCAAATGTTTATTTTAATGTATATGCAGTAAAAATAATGTATAAAATGTAATATACTGATAACTTGGGAATATTATCAAAGAACTACTTTAAAAAAAAAATTTCCAGATTTGATACATTTGCTGGTAAATTCATCAGAACTTTTTTTGGAGGAATAGACAATTTCTGTATACTACAGAATATTCTCAGGTGTTTTTTTTTTTGGAGACGGAGTTTCGCTCTTGTTACCCAGGCTGGAGTGCAATGGTGTGATCTCGGCTCACTGCAACCTCCGCCTCCTGGGTTCAGGCAATTCTCCTGCCTCAGCCTCCCGAGTAGCTGGGATTATAGGCACGTGCCACCATGCCCAGCTAATTTTTTGTATTTTTAGTAGAGATGGGGTTTCACCATGTTGACCAGGATGGTCTCGATCTGTTGACCTCGTGATCCACCCTCCTCGGCCTCCCAAAGTGCTGGGATTACAGGCTTGAGCCACCGCGCCCGGCCTTAGCATAATTCTAATTTCATTCATGATTATCACAAATGACAGAATTTCTACCGTTTTTAAGTCTGAATACTTTTCTGGGGTGTGTGTGTATTTAGTACCACATTTTCTATATCAGTTTATTTGCTGATGAACACTTAGGTTGATTCCATACTTGGTATTTTTAATAGTCCTGCAATTAACATGGGAGTGTAGACATCTGTTTGACATAATGATTTCAAGTCTTTTGGGTAAATACTTAGAATTGGAATTGCTGGGTCTTCATTAGTTAAATTAAAAAATCCTAGGCTGGGTGTGGTGGCTTATACCTGTAATCCCAGTGCTTTGGGAAGGCAAGGCAGGTGGATTTCTGAGTTTGGGAGTTCAAGACCAAAAAGAGAGTGTGAGAGAGAGAGAGAGAGAGAGAATCCAGGAGGGAAGGAAGGGAGGGAGGGGTAATAAAGGAAAAGAAAAGACCAAAAAAAGAAAGAAAGAATCCTAGATGTAGTTTCTAATAATGGATGTGCATCAGAATTATTCCCACTGGGGACTAAACTCCCAGACATGCTGTTTTGAAGCAACTTTGCAGGTGATAGTTAAAAAGTACAGTGTTAAAGGTACATCAACTTTTAGGGTAAAGAAATAATCCTGGAAGACCTTACAGACATTCTTTTTAAAGTTCTGGCCTGTATAGTAAGACATGAATTAGAACTAGAGGTATAAATGTTAGAAAGGAAGATAAAATTTTCCTTACTTATGGTTAATGGAAGGTTTATCTACGAATCCTAAAGAATTGGCTATTCTGTAATAACCACTTTGAATAACAACCAAAATGAGAGTCCATTCAAAATATCATAAATATTAAAAAGTTAGAAATACTCATTTTTGCTTAATTTTATCTTTTGAATTTGATTTAAAAGTAAAAACTAGAAAATTATATTAAAATTCTTCCTATTTTATATCCCATTCTCTCTCTCGTAAGTAATCATGTTTAACTAATTTCAGTTTATCCTTCTGGTTTTCTTTTCTTTTTTTTTAAGCCAGTAGCTTTATGTATTCTTCTTCTCTGTAAACAAAAGTAGCTGTTGTCACTTAGTGATGTATCTTAGAGAGATCACTCCCATACCAACACATAGAAATCATCTTCATTCATTCTTTGGTTTTAGAGTATCCTATGAATGTTTATTTAATCATTCTTCTATTGGTAGATATTTTGCATAAGAATGACATTAATGGGAACACGTAACTAATCTATGATAGAAATGAAACCTTGAAGATATGAATAAATAGACACAAGTGCAGTAGTGCAAGACAGGAAGGTCAAAGATGTAGATATATCAGCTCTCAAAATAAATTCATAGGTTTGTTTTAATTCTACTCAGAATACTTTTGGACTTTAAAATTCATAATGAAAAGATTTGGAAATTCATCTAGATAAATAAATATTTGAGTCTTTGTTAAAGTTCTGAAAAAAATGTATAGAGAAAATCCTAACTGTAAGATAGTAAAGCATAATGGAGCTATAAGTACCAGCACCAGGATAAAAACGATCATTGGGAACGTGGCCCAGAATGACAGGACATAAAGATTTAATATATGATAAAGGAAGCAAACATATCCATAGGAAAGGGAAAGTTTATTTAACAAATGGTGTTAATGTAAGTGTAAGCAATTTGGAGTACTGAAGTTTAGATTTTTAAAATATGGACCAAAATAAATTCCAGATAGATTAAATTACATAGAAACAAGCCAAAAAGATTAATTGTATATTTATTGAATTTAAGCAAAGAAACATCTAAGTTTAGAATTAGCAGAATAATTTAAAAGGAGATAGCTGACAGATTAGACCACATAAAAATCTTTTATGTAATCTAAAAATGTAGCCCAAATGAATAAAAAAAATAGCCTACTGGAGGAAATATTTGTAGCAAATTTCCAAGGTTTTAATATTTTTATATATGAAACTATTATGCAAATATATAAAAAGGCATAGGACAAGATTGGACAATTAGCTAAATGGGGAATTCAACAAATAAAACACGGACATATTTTAGATGTGAATTAAACTATTCACCAGGATCCATTCATTAAATTAGCAGCAACTCCCATGCTGGGCAGAGTAGAGTGTAATTATTAGATGCAGAAATTGCTGATAGTCTTATATATAAAACAACCATTTGAAAAGCACTCTTGTGATGTGCCAAGATTCATAAAAATCTTCATACTTTTTGACCCTGAAATCTCACTTCTGGGAATTGATCCAGAGAAAATAACCTGCCCTCTCTTCCAAAAAAACAAACCACTAAACCCAAAGATATTCACAGAGTTGTTTCAAATAGTGAAAAATTAGAAATAAAGGTGAGTAATTAAAATGTTCATATGTCCCCTGACAATATAATAATTAAAAATGGTAATAGAGACTGCAATTGAAAATGTTACAAGGGAGCAAGCTTTTATATTCTATCTATAGTTTGATACAAGAATGACTGGAAGGAAATAGATAAAAGTGCTAAGCAGATCGTGCCATTGCACTCCAGTCTGGGTAACAACAGCGAAACTCAGTCTCAAAAAAGAAAAAAAAAAGTGATAAGCAGTTGTGATAAGAGGATAATAGGTAATTCCTTTCTGATTTTCTGTGATCCAATGTAATGCTAGGCTGTACTGGTATAAGTACAGCCCCCAGATCAAGAGAGGATAAACTTGTTATGAGAGGAACTTTGAGACCGGAGATATACAGGTTGAGTTCCATTTCTGATTCTTCTACTTACAGATATGAAGCCCTGACAAGTTAGTGATTACTCTGAACCTCAATTTCTTCATCTCAAAATGGTCTGATAACATTGTCTTCATGATTATTGTATGGATTAACAATACTAGAAAGTACATAATAAAAATAACATTATACTGACATCACATCTGGAATAATATATCAGTCAATTGACAAGCAACCTTAGATCTCAGCTATCAGCTATTAGAAACAACCAAAGAAGATTTGGGCATGTAATCCCAGGACTTTGGGAGGTCAAGGTAGGAGGATTCTTGAGGCCAGACGTTCCAGTTCACCCTGGGCAACATAGCAAGACCTCGTCTCTACAGAATAAAAAATAAATAAAAATTAGCCAAGCATGGTGGCACACACTGTTGTTGTAGCATCAGCTACTCTAGAGACTGAGGCAGGAAGATTGCTTGAGCACAGGAGTTTGAGGCTGTAGTGAGCTATGATCATGCCACTGTACGCTAGCATGGGCAACAGAGCAGACCCTGTTTCTCTAAAAAGGAAACAACCACAGAAATAAAGCTTCTTTCCTACTTTGGTTACTTACTAGCTGCAGATTGTGGCTTTGCTATATGTTCTGTTTGCTCTGTGATCAAGGCAGAGGGGAAAGAAAGATAGGGTTGCTCTTAAAGAACTGCTTGGAAGGGGTACACTTCCACTTCTATATCTTTGGCCAAGGATAATGTCCATTGCCCTGGATATTATCCTCGCATTGGGATAGGTCAATGCAGAAGGGTAACACATATTTTGGACAAATAATATATGCTATGACAGTGCTGTCCAATTCTGTCACTTTATTTATTATTATTGTTTTGAGACGGAGTTTTGCTCTTGTTACTTAGCCTGGAGTGAACTCAGCTCACTGCAACCTCTACCTCCCAAATTCAAGTGAGTCTCCTGCCTCAGCCTCCCAGGTAGCTGGGATTATAGGTGCATGCCACCACACCCAGCTAATTTTTGTATTTTTATTAGAGACGGAGTTTCACCATGTTGGCTGGGCTGGTCTCAAACTTTTGACCTTAGGTGATCCGTCTGCCTTGACCTCCCAAAGTGCTAGAATTACAGGCATGAGCCACCGTGCCCAGCCAGTTCTA